GAAGTAACAGGTTACAGTTCAGGCTCAGGAATGCTCAGGAGACAGTTGTTCCATCAGGACAGCCTCTTCTCAGCCTTGCTTGTGGGCACACCTCTCTCTGACCCTTGGCCTCTCCCTTGTTCAGGCAAGTGTTAAAAAGCTCTCTTTAGCTCTGCCAATAAGTGCCCTGAGGCACTGCATTCTGCCAGTAAGCCTGGCCTGAAGGCGCTCAGCTCTAGCTCCGTGGTAGCTCTGCCAGGTGCTCACAGGCACCCTCCTCTGCCAACGAGCCTCCTGCCCGGAAGCATCAGCTTTCTCTCTCTGTGGGCCAGGAAGCCCGCTGCACCGTCTCCTGCTGGTCTCTTCTGTCCTTTCTCTGCCACTGCTTCTTGCCATCTTCATTGTTACAGCTCTCTCTCTCTCTTTTGGTCTCCTGGTTCCAGGAGCTTTTCAGCACAGGGATCCCGGGTCTAAAGGACACACTTCACTGTTGGTTTTTCTTCCTTGGTGGTGGTGGGATCCTCTCTCTGCTCTGGAATTCCCTCTCTTTTAAGCCTAGCAGGATAACAAAACTGACCAGTCCCCTTGGTGGGCCCCAGTTACCTGATTTGCATAGCCCCGCCCAGTCGCCTGGGTGAGAGTTACCAGACCATGATGGGAAAGGCCACACAAACTGATCCATTGCACCGAAGGGTATAAAAGTATTATTAATTATATAAAAATATGAGAAAGGAATGTTACATTTGGGACCATGACATTTGGGACCATGACTGTTAACTGGCCAACCATCTGCTTTTCCCTACATTTAATTACCAGTATTCTTTTCTTTTTTTACCTAGGTGACTTAATTTTGAAAAAATAAATTAATGCATTCTAGCAGCAAAGGTACTAAACCAGTGTATGTAGTTCAAGATAATAATTTCCTAAGTTTATTTTCCTGTGAGTGTAATTTATATAGAAAGCCTGTAGTATACATGTATGGGGAGAGCAACATGGAGAAAGAAGCCTGGACTTCATCCAACTCTGGACTCTACTAATTTGTGGTAATTCAGCTTCTGCTGAATTCTAAGCACCGAGCATTCCAGTGACAAATTACACCTATTACGTTGTCTCTAAATGTGGAAGCTACTTCGTGCCCACTCCTGACGATAAGACTCACATTGGGACAATCGTGCTCTTACTATAATGCTACTTTTAAGGAGAATTCCTTAAAATTTAGCAGAAACGGAATGTTCATATGTGAGTGTTTGTTTTGTACTTTGAAACTGGAGAGCAAGTGTGTCATACTGGAGAGTATTCCCAGTGCTTTCCGTGAATGTTTTGCCACGAGACGTTTTGTTTTCTACAGGAAGCACACTGCCATAAGCAGGGCTATTGTACAAGTCCCGCCGTTTCTCAGCATAAAATCGGAAGTGGGCATTCACTGAAGACACGAATGATGTAGCTTAGGCAGAAAGCCAGAAATATCACTGTTTTTTGGTAGTCAGTTCTGTTTTCTTTTTTATGAATGGAAAAGCAAAGGCAGTGTTAGCGGGCCTTTTTCCTGATACCCAGTAGTTTTGAGGATTCCAGGTAGAAGCAAGAAATATAAACTTTTCAAAAATAAAAAGTGAAACATAAGATAATAGAGAAAATACGTTCCTAGCCCCAAGGCTTCGTCATGGTGCACAGGTTGGGAAACACGAACTATTTACCAGCAGCTGAATGACTTTGTGAACAAAAGTCATGCATCACGTGGGGTCAGACGATAGGAGTTGGATGTCTTTAATAAGTGTTGAGGAGTCCTTGGGTGACACAAATGGTTAAGTGCTCAACTTCTAACCTAAAGGTCAGCAATTCAAACCCACCCAAGGCTCCTCGGAAGAAAGGCCTGGTGATCTGCTTCCAAAACCCTGTGGAGCACAGTTCTACTCTGATACATGGGTCAACAGGAGTTAACACCAACTGGTTTTAGTAATTGTTTATTCAGTGACTGTTATGTGGTGTGCAGTCAGTATATAATGTGGAAATTTCCATAGGGAAACGACTGACTTTCGTTAGCATATTGTTGTGGACACCATCGCTTCTCAGCATCAAAGTAGCCTGCAGTGCCTTCTACGCGCATGAGGTACGGGGGCCAGGAATTCAAGTCTGGTCTCCTGGTGGAAGGCGAGAATTGTCCCATGGAACCCCCACTGCTCCTCATTTCCTTCTAGGGCCCCACAGTTGAGCAGACAAGAAGAATCCCCATAGGAAGTAGTTAAAACACAGTGCCCAGCTGTTGTTGTCCTTGTTTGGTGCTGTCCAGTCGACTCTGACTCATAGTGACCCTGTGTGCAATGGGACAAAACACTGCCTGGTCCCGTGCCATCCTTGCCATCATTGCTATGTTTGAGCCCATTGTTGCAGCCACTGTGTCAATCCATCTTGAAAAAGAGGAAGACCCCCCAACGAGTGCCAAGTTAGTGTGTGATTAATTACCAATGGGAATTTAGAGACAAGGGAGAGCAGTGTGCCCTGGGATGGTGCAGGATGGCATCGGGACGGAGCGTGGTGCATCTCGGGGATAAACTCTAGAAGACAGGGACGCTGGGCGAGGCCAGGCCTTGGAGACACGCAGGCGAGTTCCAGGGAGCAGGAGACTGGCTGTGTCTGCAGTGACCAAGGGGAAGGACTTGAAGGAAAGCTTCTACATCTCAGGGGAGCAAGCGTTCTTGGTGTCAGATAGACAAGGCCATCTCAACTCCACCATTTTCCAGCTCAGTGTAACACAGGACCACTGTTGGGAAGATGCTGAAGTGAGAGTTGCTGTCAATAGAGTGAACGGTCAGTGCACATGGAGCGCGCAGTCACACAGCTCCAAGGGCAGCCAGCCGGCCCCTAAGTTGAGCTAGGTGACTACAGTCATCCTTTACCCTTTATGAGCAGGTGTGGGCGGGGGGGAGGTTCTATTTTTTTCCTTGAGGCTGTCAGGTTTTAGCACCTGGTGACTGAGGATTCTTTATATTCTTCTCGTGTTGTCGTTGGGTACCGTGGAGTCAATTCCAACTCATGGCGACCCCATGTGACAGAGAACTGGCCCATAGGGTTTTCTAGGCTGTAGTCTTTACGGGAGCAGATCACCAGGTCTTTCTCCTGTGGAGCCAGTGGGTGAGTTTGAACCGCCACCTTTCAGTTAGCAGCCGAGCACTTAACCTTTGCGCCACCAGGGCTCCTTATATTCTTCTCAGACGAGCCCTCTTGCCTGTGAGGCCATCGATCTCTATTTTGCTTACGTGTTTCTCTCCTGCTTGCTATAACTGAACAGTCTTATCTATGCACGGAAGAGCCCCTGGGCTGAAAGAGGGCGGCCTTAAAGTTGGCTAACCAGAGATTCAGGGCAGGAAGCGGTGAATGTTAGTGGTCCTCCAGGCCACGCTGCTCATACCTTCCTGTGGTCCTGGGAGGGACAGAGGAAGGATTTGTCCTGCTTCCTTAACACACAGTTACTACATTTTGCAGATTTTTCTTAGCTGAATTTTAGTAGACTTTCGTCCAGATTATTCCTGTGTTGTAGATCAATAAAGCTGGTATTTCAGACCTCTGATGGGCAAAGACCCTTTGACTTCTGTAAGAAGGATTCTGAAAACCCCTGAAATCCATTGCCACCTCTGCTTTCCTGAGGCCGGAATGGAGCTGACTGACGAGGCGTGGCCTCAGGGAGAAGATGCAAACTGCTCTCTCACTGAACTCTCCACGGCTCTGCTTTCTCTCTCTCTCACCCGAAGTATCTCACGAATGGGTTTTGCGTCACTTGTCTTTAGTAAACACTATGTGATTTAGATATCCGTTCCCTGGGGTCTTCGTTTATTGTCTCCTCTACCCTGGAGCTGAAGACAAAAATTGTTTTCTTCCTAATTTAGATTTTTCAGTCAGCTTATTTTGATTACATAGAAGGGCGGTTCTCAGTGTGTGACGTCTGGACCAGAAGCATGGGGATCCCCTGGAACTGGTTAGAAATGCAGATTCTCAGGCCCACCCAGCCCTGCTGACTCAAAATCCCTGGGGCTGGGCCCTGCAGGCTTCTAACTTTGAAGCTGCCCTCGGCTGGTGCCGACACAGCTCCCAGCTGCCCTCGGCTGG